TCCTCCCCTCCTCCCCTTCCCCCTCCTCCCCCTCGTGGAGGAGCTGCGGCTGCTGCTGGAGGAGGCGCGGCGGGCGCGCCTGCGCGCCACGGACGGCCTGCTGGAGGGCCCGGGCCCGCGCGCTCGGGAGCCTCCGCCTCCCTGGCAGGAGAAACAGAGCCTTGCCCTGCAGCGGATGAGGCGGGAGGAGGAGGAGGAGGAGGAGGAGGAGGAGGAGGAGGAGGAGGGAGGGGAGGGAGGGAGGGAGGGAGGGAGGGAAGGAGGGAGGAGGGAGGGGGGAGGGAGGGAGGGAGGGAGGAGGGAGGGAGGGAGGGAGGAGGAGGAGGAGGAGGAGGAGGAGGAGGAGGAGGAGGAGGAGGAGGAGGGAGGGAGGGGAGGGAGGGAGGGAGGGAGGGAGGGAGGGAGGAGGGAGGAGGAGGAGGAGGAGGAGGGAGGAGAGAGGAGGAGGAGGAGGAGGAGACGGGAGGCGGGAGGCGGGAGAGGGAGGAGGGGGGCGGGAGGCGGGAGAGGGATGAGGGGGGGAGGAGGAGGAGGAGGCGGGAGGAGGCGGGAGGAGGAGGAGGAGGAGAAGGAGGAGGAGGAGGAGCAGGAGGAGGAGGAGTCAGGTTGTAATTCGCCCGTCTGGCTGGCGCATACTCTTTGCCCTGGCGGGCACTCTCTGTCTTTTGCTTAGCCCTTGCGCCTTCCCATATTCCGCTGCGCCAGCCAGGCGTAATTTGGCTGTCTCAGGCCTAAGTCGGCCCCTTCACTTCCTTGCCACAAGACGCAACGATCATCTGATCTATGTCCGCGCAACGTCAACAAGTTAGATTTGGGGCTCAGGAGACGGGGATGCAAACGGGGGTCGGCCAGAGCACCAGATCCTGCAGGAGCCAGGGGTGCATTGACCTGGGCTTGGGCGCAAGATCCTGCAGGATCTCACATGACCCTGCAAAGCCTGACTGGCCTGGGTCTGGATTGACCTGGGTCACCAGATCCCCGATAGGTGCATCATGCTGTGCGTCCCCTTCTTCTCAGCCATTACCTCCTGGTTGTTGGTTGCCCCTTCCCCTCGCTTCGGCCAGGGAGGACGGGGGGGAGTCGAAGGCGCCAGCAGCACAGCAGCAGAGCCGTCCGCAGGCCCATGGTCCCAGCAGGAGGAGATCCGTCTCTTCACGGCCTCAGGGTCCGGGGTGGACCTCAACGGTGTTTTGGCGATTTCGTGGGCCTCTGTCGTTTCGATGTCGTTTTGCAGCGAAGGCGACTTCGAAACAAAACGAGGGACAATGAAAACAAAACGAGAACGAAAAACGCTGCTTAGGTCCAGCTCTGCTCAGGGTCTCGAATTGACCTCGTCGGTCTCGTCACGCCCTGCCCGCACGCCCCTCGGAGGTACCTGGCGCCGGAGACCCGCGTGGTCCATCTGCTTGTGCCGGCCGATCCTCGCGGCACGGGCGGGTGTTGGCCGTGTTGCTCCTCGCTGTCCCCATCTCGCCATGTTGCCTCTCTTTGCATCGCTGCTGCACGCATGGACGCCACAAGCGCGCGTCACCACCAGGGCTGCTGGAAGAAAGAAAATGAAGAAGACAACGAAAAAGGGAGGAGGAGGAGGAGGAGGAGGAGGAGGAGGAGGAGGAGGAGGGAGGAGGAGGAGGAGGAGGAGGAGGGAGGAGGACGAGCTCCTAGGGTAAAGATTCCCAGCGGTCCCTACGGATTCCTGCGGACTCATTAGGATCATTCCCGAGGTCAGGATTCCTATGATTTTCTTGTCATGCCAGTGGGTTATTCAGGATTCCTGTGGACTCCTATGGATTCCCTTTCCTCCCTCGCTCTCCCCTTCCTCCCCCCTCCTCCCTCTCTCGTCGTCGAGGGCGCTGCGGTGGCGTAAGAGCGGAGGAGGAGGAGGAGGAGGAGGAGGAGGAGGAGGAGGAGGAGGAGGAGAGTCTGCATTCCTGGAGCGTCTTGACGTGGTGTCGGCGTCTTGGATGCCCCTCGACCCGCTGTTGGAGCAGCATCGGTGGGATAGCTTTGCGCCTGATGTTGCGAGGAGAGCAGTTCGACCCGCGGGTACGTATGAGGAGAGTGAGAGAGTGAAGGACAGACGGACGGAGGAAAGGAGGAACGTAAAAAATGTGTAGATCGGTCGATTGGCGTATTGGTGTAAGGTGGAGGGAGGGAGAACGGAGGAGCAGCGGAAGGAGGCGGCGGGAGAAGGGAGACAGGGCAGGCGGGAGGGAAGGGAGGGAGGAGGGGGAGGGGAGAGGGAGGGGAGGAGGAGGAGGAGGAGGAGGAGGAGGAGGAGGAGGAGGAGGAGGAGGAGAGGAGGGGGAGGAGGGGGAGGAGGAGGAGGAGGAGGAGGAGGAGGAGGAGGAGGAGGAGGAGAGGAGGAGGAGGAGGAGGAGGAGGAGGAGAGGAGGAGGAGGAGGAGGAGGAGGAGGAGGAGGAGGAGGAGGAGGAGGAAGAGGAGGAGGAGGAGGAGGAGGAGGAGGAGGAGGGAGGGCGGGAGAGAAGGAGAGGATGA